GGGCCCGACAGCTGCTCCTGCTGGGCCTGGGCAGCGAGGCTGTACGGGCAGAGCTGGAGGAGATCACGGGCAGCCCAGAGCACGTCATGGTCTACGCCGACCCGCAGGACCTGTTCCACCAAATCCCGGATCTGCAGGGGAAGCTGTGCAGCCGGCCGCAGCCAGGTGAGACCCAGGGGCCTGTGCCCAGAGCAGCCTCGGCCGGACCCAGGGCCGGTGGCCAGTGGCGGCCCTTTCTTATGTTGCTCCCACTGAACCAAGGCCTGTGTCTAGGGGCTGGAACCCCTTTCAATAACATGGGATCAATAATAGCACCTCCTGGTGGGCTTTTGTGAGGTTTCAGTAAGACAAGCAATGTGCACAGGGTATGCACGCAGAACATCGCGGGTGTTGCTATTTATTAATATTCATTTTTTATTGTTGTTAACGTGGAGCTCCGAATCTCTTGAGATGCAGGGCAGCTATCCAGCTTCTTTATGGGAGCCCACAGTACCTTCCCACTACATACAAGCACGCACATGCGCACGCATGCACAACTGGAACAGGCATTTCATGGAGCGACGCTTGTCCTAGCTACCTGATATGTTCTAGTATTTCCTGTTGATTTTGTGACCAACCATTGGGTGTGCTCTGGAGCAGCGGTCGCCAACCGGTGGTCCATGAGGTCCGAAAGGTTGCGGATCTGCAGGGGAAGCTGTGCAGCCGGCCGCAGCCAGGTGAGACCCAGGGGCCTGTGCCCAGAGCAGCCTCGGCCGGACCCAGGGCCGGTGGCCAGTGGTGGCCCTTTCTTATGTTGCTCCCACTGAACTAAGGCCTGTGTCTAGGGGCTGGAACCACTTTCAATAACATGGGACCAATAATAGCACCGCCTGGTGGGCTTTTGTGAGGTTTCAGTAAGACAAGCAATGTGCACAGGGTATGCACGCAGAACATCGCGGGTGTTGCTATTTATTATTCATTTTTTTTTATTGTTGTTAACGTGGAGCTCCGAATCTCTTGAGATGCAGGGCAGCTATCCAGCTTCTTTATGGGAGCCCACAGTACCTTCCCACTACATACAAGCACGCACATGCGCACGCATGCACAACTGGAACAGGCATTTCATGGAGCGACGCTTGTCCTAGCTACCTGATATGTTCTAGTATTTCCTGTTGATTTTGTGACCAACCATTGGGTGTGCTCTGGAGCAGCGGTCGCCAACCGGTGGTCCATGAGGTCCGAAAGGTTGGTGACCGCTGCTCTGGAGAACACTGCCCCCCTGGAGTAGACATTCCCATCGGAGGGCAGGGCCTTGACCCGTGGGGAGGTGCAGTAGCTGAAACACATCCTTGGTGCCCCACCCCTCCCCGCCCCAACTGCTCCCCAGGGGTGGGACGTGGGAAGCTGCATATTCAGCTCTCAGCCCCAGATGTCACTCACCAGAGGTGAGCCTTCCTTCTTGCAAGGGGGAGGGACAGGGTTGGCCGCCCACTCCCACCGTGCCCTCCAGTCTGGTCTCCCCACGGCATCCAGAGTGGGTTTTTAAAAGATGGCTTGAGATTTACAGAAGATTTGTGACCGTGGTAGAGTTCTCACGTACTGCACACTCCGTGTCTCTTCTGTAAGGTGTTAACGAGGTGCATTGGTCACAGGTCATGAGCCAGTGTTACTTGTGAAAGTCTATACGTGGTTCAGGTTTCCGTAGTTTTAACCCAGTGCTCTTTTCCTGTCCCAGGGATTCTGCCCAGTTACACTCAGTCATCGTCTTCCTATGCTCCTCTTGGCTGTGACCTTGGTTTCTAAGACCTTCCTTGAGTTACAGTGGTTTTTCAAAGCCAGTACATCAGCGCCTCTTACGCTGTACTTAAACGTTTCCAGGGGTTTCCCTCTGCATTTGGAATGAAACCCAAACGCCTGCTGGTTCCCGAGAGCTCCCTGTGGTTCGGTCCCTGTGGGCTTATTTGCAGCTCCTGCATGGGGTGGGGAGCACCTGAGAAATACCCCCACACCCCTAAAGTTCTTAGCTAACTCCTCAGAGAAGACCGGGCCACTTCTCCCAATTTATTAATGTTGCTCCTGCTTTTCCCCTCATGGCTGCCCATATAACTTGTAATTCTATACTGAATTCACGTCTGTCTCCCTATAGTCTGTCAGCCCATCGACAGCAGGCATCGGCCCATTTTACCCACCGGTACAATCAGAAGCTTGTATATAGTGCGTGGTTCATGGAGGGTGCTCGCTAGTGGGATGGATGCGGGTGCGGTGAAGTTGCTGTTACAAAGGGTCCCAGAGCTCAGTGGCTTACATAGGATAGACGTTTATTTCTCTCGTAACCGTTCCGAGGTGAGTAGCCGGAGCCAGCAAGGTGGCTTGGCTGCCTTGTGGTTCTGCCTCCAGGTCCAAGGTCACTGTTTCTCGGCATGAAGGGAAGAAGGGGAAGTGGAAGGCAAGCGGCTTCCTTCTGAGGGTATCACTTGGAAATTGCACAATGGCTTCCAACCACATCCCATCAGATAGAACTTGGACACAGCCACACGGAGCTGCCAGGGATGTGGCCTAGCCAGGCGCTCCTATGAGCTGCTGCTATTCTAGCAGAGGGTGGGGGGCGGCGCCTGCCGTGGACAGACAGCGGACTGGCTGTCCCCACCGAGCTGGCCCGGTC